ATAATTTATTCCATATATATATTTATATATTCTGGTTCTGTTTATAATAAACAGTATTAACGACATTTATCGGCCTGAATGTCCGAGAATTATTCATAGAAAATTATAAATTGATTATGAAGAGATGATACAAATTATATCAGCGCTTTTTTTTTCTTCGGCTTTGCCGACAGCCACATTAAAATTTCGACCTTGTGTCACATTCTATTGCGAGGTGGACGCGTGGAAAAACACCTTCAAATGGCATCAAATGTAAAAAAAGAAAGAAAATTTTTTATAAAACCTACAATTATTCCTAAAGAAGATAAAGTGACTGCAAAATTAATTACAGGCCGACTTGTGAGCAGTTCGATTTACGACAAAGAGATCATGACCAAATGTGGTTGTAATTCGACTATGACCTGTAAATGATATTTATTATATTTTAGTATATCTATTAGTTAAGATCGGTCACATTATCATATTTTATAAGACCAGCCACGTTTATAAGACCAATCACAGTGTCGCAGTCACGCATTTTATAAACCAGTTACTGTATCACATTTTATAAATCAATCACAGAATCACATTTTATAAAACCAATCGCGGAATCACATTTAATAAAGATCAGTTACAGAATCGCATTTTATAAGACAAATCACAGTATCACATTTTATAAACCAGTTACAGAATCAAACTTTATATGACTATTTACGGCATCACGTTTTATAAGATATGTTACTGAATCACATTTTATAAGATTCGTCATAGAATCACATTTTATTAGATCAGTCACGTAGCCATATTTTATCATATCTGTCAGATAGTCACGTTTTGTAATAAGACCTGTTATTTTTTGTAAGCCATATAGTCATATATTGGGTTGGTGCATAATTATCAGGCGTTTTTGTAGGAGAGTTATTTGTTAATAAAAATTGCTCTTTTGATTACGTTTTTAAAAAAAAAATATCTTTTTTCAGATTATAAAAATTCCTGTCGGTAATTATACGCTCCGAAATAATCAGTCAAAAATGTTGTTGCTGAATTGTTATGTTCCTTTTTTCATAAAATATTGTTTGAAAAACGCCTGATAATTATGCACCAATCAAATATTTTTTATCAGGTCATTCACGTAGTTACATTAATATAAAACGTTAGTCATGTTAGTATAAAAAGCACTTGCATAGTCACATATTAGAATTAGAGAAGTCGCAATGTGTAATAAACAATTTTTGCTAAAATTAATTTAACAAAAGTCTCAAGAGCCACTCATGGTAGAGCAATTCTGAATGAGATGTGTGATATGAAGTTAAAGGAGATTTGGTGTATAAAGAGAATAGATAGTGATTAACACATGATTTGAATAGGTTCAGGGTGGTGGGCATGCAGGAGTTGGTTCCACAAAGTAGTAATTCATTTTATATTATTTATTAATTAAGATCGGTCACTTTATCACATTTTATAAGACCAGTCACGTATATAAGACCAATCACAGTGTCACATTTTATAAACCAGTCACGCATTTTATAAACCAGTTACTGTATCACATTTTATAAATCAATCACAGAATCACATTTTATAAAACCAATCGCAGAATCACATTTTATAAACCAGTTACAGAATCACATTTTATAAGACTGTCACGTTTTATAAAATCTGTTACAAAATCACATTTTATAAGATCCGTCATAGAATCACATTTTATTAGATCAGTCACGTAGCCATATTTTATCATATCTGTCAGATAGTCACGTTTTGTGATAATTATGCACCAATCAAATATTTTTTAGCAGGTCATTCACATAGTTACATTAATATAAAACATTAGTCATGTTAGTATAAAAAGCACTTGCATAGTCACATATTAGAATTAGAGAAGTCGCAATGTGTAATAAACAATTTTTGCTAAAATTAATTTAACAAACGTCTCAAGAGCCACTCATGGTAGAGCAATGCGTGATATGAAGTTAAAGGAGATTTGGTGTATAAAGAGAATAGATAGTGATTAACACTTGATTTGAATAAGTTCAGGGTGGTGGGCATATAGTATTTGGTTCCACAAAGTAGTAATTCATTTCTGGGGTAGAAATCCATCTAAATGAAATTTTCTACTTACAAGGGAGTTACGCAGGAAATACGTTTTATACAATGAAACGAGTCATATAGTCACATCTTTCTGGTCATGTAGACGTATAGAAATATTATACAGGGTATGACAGATATACCTCCTACATATATTGTTATACTTCTTGATTCATTGGGGAGCATAGGGCTGCAACAACACCTTTCCAACGGACGCGGTTCCGGGCGATCCTGTTCAGCTCGGCCCAGGTCGTGTCGGCTACCTGCACCTCTGCGTCAACACTTCTGTGCCAAGTCTGTTTTGATCAACCCACTTTTCGCTTCCCTTCAAGTCCAGGGCCTGCCTGGTGACACTAGAAGCAGTCTTGCCGAGTGTGTGGCCGATCCATCCCCATTTCCGTTACTTTTTGACAATCTCGATTGTAGCTTGTCTGGTCCTGTCCCACAGTTGGTCGTTGGAGACGACTTCCCTTGTGGATTCCAGTCAAGGGCCTGCCTGATGACACTAGAAGCAGCCTTGCGGTGTGTGTGGCCGATCCATCCCCATTTTGATTTCTTGATATCAATGTCGATTGGGGCTTGTCTGATCCTGTCCCACAGTTGGTCGTTGGAGATGACTTCCCTTGTGGATTCCAGTCAAGTGCCTGCTGATGACACTAGAAGCAGGCTTTCGGAGTGTGTGGTCGAACCATCTTCATTTTCCGTTACTTGATGTCAATCTCGATTGGGGCTTGTCTGGTCCTGTCCCACAGTTGGTCGTTGGAGACGACTTCCCTTGTGGATTCCAGTCAAGGACCTGCCTGATGACACTAGAAGCAGGCTTTCGGAGGTGTGGTCGAACCATCTTCATTTTCCGTTACTTGATATCAATCTCGATTGGGGCTTGTCTGGTCCTGTCCCACAGTTGGTCGTTGGAGACGACTTCCCTTGTGGATTCCAGTCAAGGACCTGCCTGATGACACTAGAAGCAGGCTTTCGGAGTGTGTGGCCGATCCATCCCCATTTCCGTTTCTTGATGTCAATCTCGACTGGGGCTTGTCTGGTCCTGTCCCACAGTTTGTCGTTGGAGATGACTTCCCTTGTGGATTCCAGTCAAGGGCCTGCCTGGTGACACTAGAAGCAGGCTTGCAGGTTGTGTGGCCGATCCATCGCCATTTCCGTTACTTGATGTCAATCTCGATTGGGGCTTGTCTGGTCCTGGTCGCACAGTTGGCCTGATTAGAAGAGACGATCCATCCCCATTTCCGTTTCTTGATGATTCCAGTCTGGTCCTGCCAGTTTGTCGTTGGAGATGACTTCCCTTGTGGATTCCAGTCAAGGGCCTGCCTGGCCTAGAAGCAGGCTTGCAGGTTGTGGCCGATCCATCCCCATTTTGATTTCTTGATATCAATGTCGATTGAGGCTTGTCTGATCCTGTCCCACAGTTGGTCGTTGGAGATGACTTCCCTTGTGGATTCCAGTCAAGTGCCTGCTGATGACACTAGAAGCAGGCTTTCGGGTGTGTGGTCGAACCATCTTCATTTTCCGTTACTTGATGTCAATCTCGATTGGGGCTTGTCTGGTCCTGTCCCACAGTTGGTCGTTGGAGACGACTTCCCTTGTGGATTCCAGTCAAGGACCTGCCTGATGACACTAGAAGCAGGCTTTCGGAGTGTGTGGTCGAACCATCTTCATTTTCCGTTACTTGATGTCAATCTCGATTGGGGCTTGTCTGGTCCTGTCCCACAGTTGGTCGTTGGAGACGACTTCCCTTGTGGATTCCAGTCAAGGACCTGCCTGATGACACTAGAAGCAGGCTTTCGGAGTGTGTGGCCGATCCATCCCCATTTCCGTTTCTTGATGTCAATCTCGACTGGGGCTTGTCTGGTCCTGTCCCACAGTTGGTCGTTGGAGATGACTTCCCTTGTGGATTCCAGTCAAGGGCCTGCCTGGTGACACTAGAAGCAGGCTTGCGGTGTGTGTGGCCGATCCATCGCCATTTCCGTTACTTGATGTCAATCTCGATTGGGGCTTGTCTGGTCCTGTAGCACAGTTGGTCGTTGGAGATGACTTTCCTTGTGGATTCCAGTCAAGGACCTGCCTGGTGACACTAGAAGCAGGCTTTGCGAAGTGACTGATACATCCCCATTTTGGTGACTTGATACATCCCCATTTTGGTTTCTTGATGTCAATCGTTGGCGATTCCGTTGGGATTGTCTGGTGCCTGGTCCCAGAAGTTGGTCGTTGGCGATGATTTCCGTTACTTGAATTCCAGTCGAAGGGCCTGTCTGGTGGTGACAGTTGGTCGTTGGAGAACTTTCCTTGTGGATTCAGTCAAGGTGGTGACACTAGTGGCGAAGTGTTCCATCGCCATTTTGGTTTCTTGATGTCAATCTCGGGCTTGTCTGGTCCTGTCCCACAGTTTGGGATGCTTGTTGTGGATTCTGGGCCTGTCTTCCACAGCCTTGCGGTGTGTGTGTGGCTGTTTGGTCGTTGATGAGACGACTGTTCCAGTTGGGTTCGACTTCCCTGATATTGATGGTTTCCTGAAACATCGGCCAGTAAATGCCTGAAGTTGCTGGGTGTTGGTGTTGGTTACCCACTAGGTTTCAAGCTTTATCGAGTGACGAATCAACAAAACCCGACACGCTATCAACATTCTGCTGGCAATGTGGAGATCAACATCACACTCGCTTTACAACAAGATCCGGATCTTCAACACCAACGTCAAGTCGGTCTTACTTTACGGCTCCCACATCTACCCACTAGAAATTAATGGTAAGACGTTAATGGCAAGGGTGTTGTTAGTTAGCTAAAGTCTTAGCATTATGTGAGAGGTATTTCTATTAGGTAACTCTGAGAGGTATTTGTGGGATGTATTTCTGCAGCACCCAGCATTAGAAAAATGACATCGATGAATTTTATAATGAAAATGACACAAATGATAAGGCCATAAATTATCAATCATATATAGAATGTAGTAGAGATAAAAGAAGAAAGAAAGAAAGAAAGAAAGAAAGAAAAGAACGGGAGGAAGAAAGAAAGAAAGGGAGAAAGGAAGGAAGGAAGGAATGAAAAAAAAGAAAGAAAGAAAGAAAGAAAGAAGGGACAAAGAAAGAAAGAAAGAAAGAAAGAAAAGAAAGAAAGAAGAAAGAATGGAAGGAATGAAGAAAGAATGGAAGAAAGAAAGAATGAAAGAAGCAAAGAAGGAATGAAAGAAAAAAGAAAGAAAAAAGGAAGGAAGGAAAGAAAGAAAGGAAAGAAGGCAGGAAGGAAATAAATAAAGAAAGAAAGAAAGAAAGAAAGAAAGGGAGGAAGGAAGGAAGGAAGAAAGAATGAAAGCAAGGAAGAAAGAAAGAAAGAAACGAAGAAGAAAGAAAGAAAGAAAGAAAGAAAGAAAGAAAGAAAGGAACTTCCTTGAAATTCATTTTCAACAAAATTATCTCCAAAGAGAAACTGACTGTCGGTTTTATGATAAAGATAAGAATGTTTTAGCGAATCTATCTCTCAGAAATCAAAACCAAAAAAAGAAAAAAAAAATTCCGTTTCTAGAATACGCGATAAGCAAAATAAAAATAAATGAACTGCAACCAGAAATTCTTTAAGGTAAATTGTTTGAAAGGAATTATTTATGTAAAATATTAATATATACCATCTGCATATTCTGAAAGTATGGGAAATATTTTGGAAATATTTGTAGCCACTACCAACATCGATCAATTTTACATTGCATATAAAACTAGTTTAATGCATAACCATACGATATGCACATGCATTTAGATATATCATTAATAAACATATGCAAAACGCAATTGTTACCTCTCTATCCTCTCTCTCATATATATATATATATATATATATATATATATATATCTTTTTATTCACATCTACATATTTATTTATCTATCTATTTCAGTCTATTCATTATCAACCTACCTAATTATCTATCTCTGTCTAGTCATTTTCTTTCTATCTATCTATCTATCTATCTATCTATCTATCTATCTATCTATCTATCTCAGTCTATTCATAATTTATCTCTCAGCTTGCTTATCTATCTATCTATCTATCTATCTATCTATCTATCTATCTATCTATCTATCTATGTCAGGCTATTCACTATCTATCTATCTATCTATCTATCTATCTATCTATCTATCTATCTCAGTCTATTCATAATTTATCTATCTCAGTCTATTCATTATCTATCTATCTATCTATCTATCTATCTATCTATCTATCTATCTATCTATCTATCTATCTGGGTCTATTCACTATTTGGGGCTCAGCCTAACCGGAGTTTAGGTGGAAAAATAAAATGTGAGTATCATGTCCCCAATTACAAACCAAACTATTAATAAACACCGCAAGGAAATTATCTTCGGAAAAAAGAAGACTAAGTTAAATATGGCAATAGTCATTATTCAGTAGATATTATGTATTTAAATATTAGAATTCAATTGTCTTTGTTGTGGCTACGAAGGGACCATTAGTTTGATTGCCGCAAGTGAGTCTGCAAAGTTCGAGAGCATATGTACGCTAATATTTGTGTGTGTGTAAAGAGCACGCTAATGAAACATATGTGTGACTTCTGACTGCGTGCGACAGCAGAAATTTTCAAAACACAGTGAATAGAGAGAGTATACGAGATTTACTTTCGTCATTGCTTTTTTATGTAGAAAAATCATCACTGACATACGCGTTGTCATGGTACGTGTGCCATTATTGATAATCGAGGCTGGTCTGGTTCAATGATTGTTCCGTTTCAGATCTGGTCTCTGACTGTGGCTGGCGAGCCAATTTTATCTCTAATAGCGAATTGGTTCACGAATCTATCTTAGTTTTGCGCATCAAAGTACTTATAAACCAAACCCTGTCCTATTTCCCAATCTACTTGGAGTTCAACCGCACGGACGTCGTAGAGAGCACATTACGGGACCTCTGCTATCCAATCAGGTTCTAGAAACTAATTATTTAATTTTGGAGAGGTGGTTGCTCAGAATTGTAAAAAAAAGTTTATCGTATCTACTGAACTTTGTAGTATTTCTCTGTACGCGTCTCTTAATTGCTTGTGCTTCACTTATTGGCATTAAAATATAGGACTTTATATTCTATGCTATCTATCTATCTCTATATATTTATTAAAGGCATTTTTATGTTTAACGTTCTTTTTTATAGATACAAGTATTTAAGTCAATGCTCTGTTTATAATAAACAGTATTAAATAACATTTACCGGCCTGAATGTCCGAGAAATTTTCATAGAAAATATTCGTCCTTTGAAAATTTCTCGGACATTCAGGCCAGTAAATGTTATTTAATACTGTTTATTTAAATAGAGCATTGACTTAAATACTTGTATCTATAAAAAAGAACGTTAAAACATAAAAAATGTCTTTTAATAAATAAATTGTTGACTTTGTCCATTTTTTATATATATATATATATATATATATATATATATAAACAAATATAGATATCATAGAATAGAAACTCCTATATATATATATAAATGTGAAAATTGAAGTCAACACTCAGAGGCGACAGGCTGTTTCATGCTAGACGCAATCGTCTGGCCGGGAATGTTCACCTTTATATTTATATTTATTTATATTTACATTCGCTCTGTCTCTGATATTGAGCACTGTATCTCATAAGTATAGCACACCTTAAAACTATATTTCTTCATATATATATATATATATATATATATATATATATTTATATAAATATATATATATAAAATAGTTTGTTTATATTCGATCTTTAATAGTCAGTTTATCTGTTTATATCACCCTCTCTCTCTCTATCTCTCTCTCTCTCAGTCTCTCTTTTTTCTCGGTCTTTCTCTTTTTTCTCTTCTTTCTTCCTAGAGTCAATTCATTTTGATAGATACATTTTATTAAATAAATGTTTTTTGTTTTTTTTTAATTAAACATTATTAATTAAATTCATCATTTTTAATGTTCGAGAAATTTCATAAAAATTCGCATTCCACTACAGGAATCGAGCCTGTATTCCTATACGGAAAACTTCGTTTGATCTGACGTGCTATACCATTTAGCTTTATATGTGACATTTTTATACGATTTTTAAATTTGATCCAATGAAGCTGACTGGAAAGTGGCATTTTGATACGAGGAACGACGTATGGATAAAACATTTTATTTTTAAGCAGCAAGCAATGATCTAATCCGAAGCAGATTACGCGTATAACTCGATCTTAGACACAAACGCCAATATATGCCTAAAAACCTCTTATTTTTGACGGGTACTATACTTACGCTGCAATATTCAGTATCAATAAGGAAAGGTCTAATATGCTATCACAATAGGTGATTTATGCTTTTTAGAATTCTAATTTAATAGCCTTAAAGAAATAGGGAAACCTATTGTTTTCGCAAACCGCAATTTTGCCTCAGGACATACATTGACATATATGAATATTTTGACATTTTAGAATGTATTATATATTATTTAATTTATTTGTTTTAATTTATCTCATTTTTTTTAATACAGTGTCTTCTGTTACTGCATAACTTTATTTTTTGGGGAATTGAAACTACTTTTGAAATTATACATTAAGCGCACTGAACAAATATATATATATATATATATATATATATATATATATATATATATATATATATATATGAACTAGTAATAATCTTATAAGTATAACAAATTATACTCGTCCGGAAAACCTTCGGTGTCTTGATTTGCGAATAATCAAACCAATAACAAAGGGGTAAAAAAAAGATCTAAAAAAAAAATAAAAAGAAAGAACAAAGAACATGTCTGTCAGCCGAAGATAATCGTCTAGCATCCACGTCCAAAGTCCAAAGAAAAAAAAAACGATACGAGTAAGCAAAATAACTAAATAAAGTGCTCAATACGTTAATTAGAGCAGACCTACTTAAAACCTAGAGAGCCAGACAAACCTACCTAGGTTTCATCTAAGCGGATCATCAGAGAAGGCCTTCCCTGAGGATCGGCTTAGGTGAAACTAACAGTATTGTCTGGCTCTCTAGGTTTTAACTAACTAACTAACTATATATATATATATATATATATATATATATATATATATAAGTCAGTCAGACAGTCAGTTATGTGCCATGCATGATACACGCTTAGGCGATCATGTATCTTTCGATACATGACTGACAAAGAAGATTATTTTTTCAACGTTCTCGGTTGCCATTTCTTTCTGCGGTAGACCAATTGCCAGCCAAGGCTATAGAACCCGGCCTTTTTGGCTATTTGCCCATAGCAAGGGAGAGAGAACAAGAGGATTCATACCTTTCCCAAGGGTATTAGCACATAAGCGAATGTAATGGGTTCAACTGGAATTCGAACTCGAGTTGAGTCTTTACCCACCGCACATTCGGTGGCGATAACATATATTATGCATATGTGCTCAAGAGTCTTACACAAAACACACACTTTATATATATATATATATATATATATATATATATATATATATATATATATATATATATATATATATATATATATATATATATATATATATATATATATATATACATTTATATATATATATACATACATATATATATATATATATATACACACATCCAAATTTATTTAACAAAGTATAATAATTTTGTTTTTTTTTTAATTTAAAGTTCTACTCTAACTAGTTTTAGGTCAATTTAAAAAAAACAAAAACTATTCAACTGTAGTGTACATCTATCTATCTATCTATCTATCTATCTATATATATATATATATATATATATATATATATATATAGAGAGAGAGAGAGAGAGAGAGAGAGCGAGAGAAATAGATAGATATGAAGAGACTGACATCGATAGATAGATAGCTAGATATGAAGAGAGACAGATATGATATATATATATATATATATATATATATATATATATATATATATATATATATATGAACAGACTGACACTGATAGATATGAACAGACTTACATAAAAAATAGCTCTTGAAGTCAGCACGTGACTTGCAATGGAACCTAATTTATTCTGTGCCGAGCATCGCATGTTTTTGGGGGGCTTTTTTTGTTTCTTTTTTGTTTTTTGTTTTTTTAAATTCTGTTCAGCTTTTATTTGAGTTTTCATGTGGCGGGTGAATCCTGGGCGGTTCCTAGAGGTTTTCTGACGCAATCGGAATGTAAAGTTATTCCCAGCGTCGTCCTGATAGTAATTTCTCAATGGAACAGCAGCATAACTCTTCTTATGGATAACGAGACCTGCATTTGAGAGGCATTCCTCAGCCCCATTCGACACATAAATTAATGAATTTCAGTATCATTAATTTCCTCTTTTCGTAGCTGTACCAAAGACATTTGCCCAACTCAGTGGATATTCTTGGAAGACTTTTGTGCCTACATTAATCATACACCACCCCCTTATTTCGATCCCACCCAGAAC